AACGCAAATATCTTGTTTCCTTTCGATATTCGCGCATACCGGATCGTAACTTCCTGAATTATGGCCTCTGATTGTACGAAAAATCGCGTTTTTAGCTCGTGGTCACCTTAGACAAAAACGTTTTAGTATATCAGTAAAAAACGTTTTAGTATATCACCGTTGCACCCTAATGATGGTTGGGAAAATCGGATCAAAACTGCCGGATAAATTGGCCACCCCTTATACGCAAATAGTGTAAAATATGGTATATCAAGGTTGTGGACCCTCTAGAGGTCACAATTTTCATCCGATTTGAATGAAACTTTAAATATATGTTTTTATCATAAAGATCTTTGCTCCATTTGATAATCACACATATCCAAACGTAACGTCTCGGATTATGGCTCCTGATTGTTAAAAAAAATTCGCAATTTTAGAGGTCACATTTTTTTTCCGATTTTAAAAACCGTTTAGATATATTACCATTCCACCATAATGAAGGTTGAATTTGAATTTCGGGAAAATCGAAATGAAACTGCCAGACAAAATGGCCGCGCTCGCTTTGTACGCAAATTGTGTAAAAGTATGTAATACAAAGGTTATGGAACCTCTAGAGGTCACAATTTTTATCCAATTTTGATGAAACTTAACACATATCTTTAGATTCCAAAACTCTCAATCCCGTTTGATATTTGCGCATTTCAGACCGTAACTTTCTGGATTATGGCCCCGGATTGTACAAAAAATTGTTCTTGTTTTTAGCTTGTTCTCTATCAATCGCTTTAAAAATGTGGGCGTATCCTGCCTGGCAGCCGCTGGTTTACCTTTGCCAGACAATTTTATTTTTTCTATATTTTCTATAGCATGTAGTTTTCTATACTATGAAACGTATCATAATATGCAAAACCTATTTCTTCTAATTCTGTCTTTACAAAATCATCTAGTCGTCCTTATTTAAAGCATATCTTCATAACAAACAATATTGATGTAGATCTTCAAGTGGTTATTATATTCTCAAAAGTAGTCTGGAACAGCATCAATTGTATATTTAAACGTGTGCCTGTATTCAATATAAGATAATATTTCTACTATTGAATGTACAATAATAGGCCTAAGTCAGGTTCTGTAACTTTAAGGGTTTCCCCTTGTAAGTGGTGTAGGACGGAGGTACCGACAAGGAACAACATCTAGTAGTTCAGATGGGACGACACAAGGCCCCGTTTACACATTGGTATTCACTTAAAATAACCCTTGAAATATGGAAGTCAATTGCTCTCCGGGGAAACTTTCATGGTGTATGTCCGTTTTCATTAGTCCGTTTTCATTACTGAAATGTAGGACGTTAAACCACATTCATAATCCATATGTTCATGTTATTACAACATGATATATAAAGATAAGACTAACTAATACATTGAACTTTGAGCTTAAAATCATATTGATGTGTAAGCAGTGTACAGTTGATATTGAATATCGAGGGGATCTGTTAAAGATATAAACTAACAGATAACGTCGAAAAGAAAACGAAATTCAATTATACTACATGTATTGTCACCATGACCCTAACCTTGATGGATCCCCTTTGATATCTCGGTGTTGTGAAATAGCAATTTATACTTACTTCAGCATAATATCTAAGACCATTGATTAGCTAGTGCGCATATACATAGGTATATAAGGCTGATTGTGGCCATTCATTGTCATTGCTACATTCAAAGCTGTAAGAGCAGACGTTCTTTACAGTGTAGCAATCACTCGGATTAAGACCATGACGGACGACAAAAAAATAACAAAATAACGCTTACTTCGGAACTGAACCACTTCTTAGTGTGTTCAACCAGAACTAGTTATGCATACGCGTAATTAACTCGGTCTAAGAGGGGATCTCCTCACAAGCGACCATGCTATCACACCTCGAGTGTGCTATATGGTAGAGGGGTGAACCTCAAGGACCCCAATTTGTACAGGTTGTTAGGGTAGAGATATTTTATAACTCATCCTACACTTGTACTTGATGGGGTTTCATTTCAACATTTACTGGAGTGTGTTAAGTGGAAGGTGGGTGAACCTCAAGGACCCCAATTTGTACGAGTTGTTAGGGTAGAGATATTTTATAACTCATCCTACACTTGTACTTGATGGGGTTTAATTTCAACACGAGCCTTATAAAATAAAGGAATGATGATCAGCAGGCAACCGGCAGTTTGAAGAAAAGGGATCAGTGCTGAAGTTGAAAGGAGTTTTATGTTTTTTATGGCCTCGCTTCTTCAGACCAGTTCTTTAACACCCCTGTCTTGTACGTGATATTATTGCAACTGTTGCAACTAGAGAAGTGAGAAAAATGTTTAAAACTAATTCAATTTACGTGAAAGTATTTGAGTTATTATTCCAGACGTTCTATCCACAATATAATTCTATATTTTGTTAACTTGTTTACTTTGAATTGGATTGTGTAGGAGACAGGCCACTAATTGATTAAACTATACTTTAATGGATTGCAACGCAACGTGTTTTAATTTTGCGTTTAGACCTGACATAGGGTAAACAGAAGTGTATTGCCATAAATAACATCGCACGGGATCATTTGGCATTACGTAGCAATTCAAGCAGGATAACCTACGTCATGGAAATCATTTCAAAGACAGGAGAAAAATTGATTTTCAGGACCGATATAATCCGATGTTTTCAGTATCGAGTCTTATTCATATGAAACTTACGCTGTCTAGGATTAGCTTAGCTAAACTAGTTGTCCTAAATCGACGATTTTAGTTGAAAACACTAAATGTACTTCTGCTTCCATTTAATTAGTGTTAGTGTGTATTACAAATTAGAATACAAATTTTTGGATATGGCGGCCATTCAGGACAGAGACCTTTTTTCAAAGTATGTTGTTCTCTGTGTGCAGAATAAGTCTTATTCTCAATCTCTATTAATAAAATAAGAAAGAAAGCCTGTCTAATATATCAATTACTGTCACACCCAGTCATGATATTTACTAAAGCGATGATTATCTTATTCAAGTGAGATAAGATGGAACGGTAAACATGATGCCTAATAAAAACTAAGCTGTCGTGTCGCAAAAAAACATCGAAGCCATCATATAACATGTGATTTATTTCGAGGCAGAAAGGAGGTCATTTCGGGAGTAACATATTATTCAATTTCATTTCAAGCATTTGCTTGTGCGTGTATATATAGGGGTCTTTAGCAGTGGGAGGAAACCAGAGGACACGAGGTTCGACATGCAACCCTATTCTTTGTCACGCACAAGCGGGGAAAACGGAAACCACGCCAATTGACTCAATGACAGGCCGAATGATTATTCGACGAACCAAACCCCAACGAAATGCAATGCAATGGGAATTGACATCCTACTTTTTGCCTCGATTCTGGCTAATGAAGACGATCATACGTCACGCAGTGTACTATGAGAGATATTATGCCCTGGCAGCCGCGCTATGGCCTATATTTATTTCGAATTTCAACTATCAGAGGGTATTTTATGTGCATGGTTTCGTCCCATTCGAACGGCTAGACTTTGTTTCTTGCTGTTTCATCACTGTCATCGATAGGAACTTTAACTTCCAAGACACAAAACCACAAGGTTAGCGTTCAGATTAATAATGAAAATTGAATTTCTGTAACTCTATAATACAATATTAAAATACCTTTATTCCAGATGTGTTGAAAAATATACGTGCATTTACCAGGGGTTTTCGAGATATGGGCACTGGCGTGTCGATAAATAGCTGCAATATTTGTTCGCCGTGGTAATTGACTTATTCACTGCTATAATTGATACACTGTTCAATTGCATTATTTTCAATTGCAAAATTTTAAAATGGACAGAAATTTCGGGTAGCAGTTGAGCAGAGTCTTGGTGATTTTTAAGCCCGAAAGGGTGGGACCTCTGCCTAGTCAATGGGACGAACATCCAAGGACTATCCGTTTACACATTGGCTTGTACGTTAAATAATCCTTAGTATTTTGGATTCGTGTAACACTACTAGTGTATAACAGAAGATCAGTTTAGTAAATGTGGTATTTATTTACATTGGAAACAGGAACATAAATACAAACAGGAACATAATGACGTAAACACGGTACATCACTATTTTAAGACAACCATTCCGTCCCTCTGCCAAGAAGTTCGTCTCAGCTGTTTTCCGTTCCAGAAAACACAGTGTTTTATGTACCTGCAAACAGGTGAGAAAACAGACACTAACATCTTATAAGGACCTGGGTCTAAACACAACAGGTCATCATTATATATGGAATTTGTTATATACCACATGCTATCGTATGAAATGTATGAAATTAGCTGATCGGTATGAATTCCACAGCATTGTCAATAACATGTGGAACTTATTAAGTCTAATTAAACACAAAAATACGTGTTTATGTAGAGGTTATAAGCCTATGTCATGCATTATCAAAAACATTTGGGGTTCAGTGCATCTAAATAAATGTTAATATTTTATATGAGTGAATATAGTTTAATTTTGATGAAAGATATGGAGCATTTTGTCACATTCGAATAAACGTCAATGTACAGGACAAATTTTAATGTCTTGCCTTCGCATTACCGTACAAGGTTCAAAATGGCCGAAGTACCTTTATTGCCATAACGACCATCACCTAAATACAACCATTACCATCCCCGCACACAATTCTTACCAAGAAATCAACAAATTATTACTAACTTTAATTAGCTCAATAAAAAGCAGAAAATGGCAAAACCTAATTAATATTTGTTAAAAAACTAATGTTTTTTGTATTCATTCTTGATTAATCTTTCAATCATAATTTATTAATATATCTTTAAACAATATTGTTTTATATTATAGACATTAACTTGTATGTAAATAGCACTATATAGAGCGGAAGAGGTCGAGAGGTGACATTCAACTGCCCCCAGGCCACCAGTATTAAACTCTTCTCTATATGTCACTGTCATGACACGCAAAGTCGAGCATTTTAGAAACTAGTATACGATAGCTGTAGGACCGAGACTACTTGCATCACAGGTGTCAAAATGGTGGACTCTTTTGTTGTCTTTAAACCACAATTTACGCAGTCAACTCGTAAGCTCTTGTTTGTAGTTTAATATGTGTTTGACACGGTTGATTAATCACAGGTGGCGTGTAAAACTACTGTATATATCTGTTTTCCAAATTTAACTATATCTTGCGGGGATTTAATATTTCGCGAAAATGGAAACGTATAGTGTGTGTTATTATGACAAATAATTAACCAAATTATTATGCTCTGCATTTACTTAAACTTGTAAATTATTGTGGATATAGGGTAGCCCATGTTTATTTTTTATATTTGTATGATGATGCGCCCATTCGCGTTATTCGTGTTGTTATTTTATCCTGGTAATTGCCAGCTAACAGTAACTCCACCAACAGAAGTATTAAGAAGTGAACAGGAGAGAACCTGTGTGATTGGTTTTGTGTGTAAACATGGATACTGTGTAATATCGAATACACTACAATGTGTTTGTGATCCAGGATGGATTGGTGTATTTTGTGAAAAGTTATGTCCTTTAGATTGTGGTGAGCATGGACAATGTACGGTGTTCAATGGAACTCCCAAATGTGAATGTGATTGGCAATATAACGGAGAGAAATGTGATAAAATGATTGAAGTGTCAGTTGAGAGCACAACAGGTTTGTTTATTTCTATCCTGAAAGGTATCATAATAATGTTTTTAATGATAAAAATATGATTCCGGGAGATTATGTTGTTTATTACTTCAGGCTCGGCTGGTCGCCTTGAGTATGGATCGAATCCCCGGTTGTACGTGGCAAGGAGTAGGGTCGCCTGTCCAGCCTCGTGAGTTTTCTCCGGGTCCTCCGGTTTCCTCCCACTGCTAAAGACCCCTACGCGCAAGCGAATTATTGAAATAAAATTAAACCATATGTTAGTCCCGAAATGACCTAGTTTGTGTCGAGTGGACGTTAAACCCCATTTCTCTCTCTCTTTCTGTCTTAAGTATGGAGTGCTTATAGCCTCTAGAAAGCAGAAACTTCGTTGCTCTGAAATTTCTCTTCTGTATCAAATTGACTATTATTCTTTAATATAAGACAAGTATCCAAATATAAAACGGTCTTAGTTCATACTTATACGTACACATGATTTCATAGGGTCATTTGTCTCCAAGCAGGCTTGTCCATATAAAGAAATCACTATGAATATAAATAAAAGGTGTTTACGTCTTGCAGTCAATACCGTTTGGTCTCCTGTGGTGACAATACTGCGTCTTATTTTCTCACTTCTTAAAGTCTCTTAATATTCATTTGAAAGATGTGTAATCCATTATAAACTACAATAATAGATCGGTAAAGGAAATATCATTTAAATGGTTCAATTCCGTTCAGTATTTACAAAGATATAAATTTTTGATTATACCCTTTCACTATAAATTATCGTAGTGTTTTTGGTTCTATTTTCAGTGTGTATGAACTGTGATTCCACAACTTCAGAAACCACGCCATCAAACGTTATTGAGACAGTTCCAACTGTCGTCAAAAGAAAAGATTGCTTTCCTGGATTTGTGTGTCAAAACGGTTACTGTCCGAGTGGTAAAGTAGAGTGTGTCTGCGACTTGGGCTGGACGGGGCCTTTTTGTGATACACCGTGTCTACTGGACTGCGGTCAGTTTGGACAATGTAAGAGTTTGGGCGCCAACTCACAAAGCTGCGTTTGTGAAGAAGGTTATACAGGCTCAAATTGTGAACTTCATCCGTTATCTAATGGTAACACATATTACTACTTATTTTTTTCTATATTCACTCAGCAAATTGTTTCCCTGATCCATTTCGTTCCAGTGTGACGCTGGGATTATATTCTGTGGTTAGGTACTGTAATCAGACAAGCAAAAGCTTCTACTTTGGACGGGGAATGAAATTAACATTAGATTCTGTATTTCTATGTACTCTAATTATATAACCAAGAGAGTACAAACTTAATAGAATATTTCATCAAATGATGCACGATAATTTAATCAGGTATACCGTTATCATCATACCAGATATTGAATAAAATATATTCCATAACCACCGCAAAAACAATTCAGTATTAAAATTTCTATTTAATTTGTAATATCACAGTAAACAGTCTAATGATTCTCATAATCTTCTAGTACCATTCAGGGGATCAGGGGAATTTTTAGTAAATGAAACAGAAATTAGGTTACTATATTTCACATATCTCTAACATTAAAGGTCAATGATCACCAGTAAGTTAATACAAATTAGCATAGAAATTTCTATTTCATTTTTAAAATATCACAGTAAATAGCCTAACGATTTTCATATTTTGTTAGTAACACTCAGGGGAACTTTAAAGTAGCTAAGTCTCTAACTCAATATCATCCAAAATCTTCAACATTGAAAACACGATTTATTTGTCAAATTAATGTTGTGATGTTGTGATCTTACCGGAATAAGATGGGCTTTTGAAATCCAATATTTAAGACAAAATAAACATTTTACCATTGGTACACGAATCGTGTACCATAATGCGCTTCAGCCCCAGTTGTAAAAAGAGACTCGAGGGACGAGGCTAGACACATTGCACCAAATCGAACGGCGTATGTAGACTGGAATAACCAGACGCTAGAAATTTGCACTCGATTGAGACTGCTGGCTTATTTCGCCGAACATAACTGATTTGAAATTGGAGTAAAAACGGAAACCATTGAATGTAAATCAGTTTATATACATTAATATTACAGTATTATATGCGTTGCGACCCACTTTTGTCAATTTCTAGGTCCCAAATGTTAGCGATTTAGCTCCTTTAAGTAAATGAAACAACAATTAGGTTGCTATATTTCACAAATCGCTAATATTAAAGCTCAACTCTCTCCTTGAATTGATTTCCCGTCGGAGAAGCTATGTAGAATGTACAGAAAAAGACCAGACGGCTCCTTATTTCACTATCTTTTTTAAGATATTTGGATTATTAAATACAAATTCGCCCAAACAAAATGCAACAATGCATAAAGATATCTATTTGCATTCGTTTACCAATCTACGTTATGCAACACAGAACGACGATCAAAATATCCCGTTAACGATATACGAAAGTAAAATGCCCCCGGCCCACTCAATAAATGATCTTACTTGCCTATGATTTATTTTGCAGGGCGGTTGATCCGGGGTTTCCATTATAGGCATTGATTATTATTGTTTGAACTAAGGTTCTTTCCATCATGTAATCCATTTAGTACTTTTTGTTTTGTTTCTTGATGGTCAGTTTGATTATAACATTTAATTTCTATTAACAGATTCAACAACAGCAATAACAACATCATCAGTACCAGTACGAACTCCAGATACAACAAAAATACCTGTGTCCACTGTAACTGCTATACGGCATTTAAACTACACAGATCCACTCCAACATCCGGTAAAGGACCGAACGTGTGTACCTGGCTTTGTGTGTGAACATGGTATTTGTCATACTAATGACAATAAATCAAAACTTCTAAAATGTGTATGTGACGATGGATGGATTGGAATACTTTGTAATAAAAAGTGTCCTTTAGACTGTGGTGATTTTGGAAAGTGTGGAACCAATGAAAATGGAATCAGCTATTGTTCTTGTAATTGGACATATACGGGTGTTCTCTGTGATGTATTGAAGCCCCAGAAATTACAAGGTAAACGATATACCAGTTTCATATACACTGTGCGTTTATTATTTTGAATTTTTAGAAGTATAAAATAAAATTACAGAACATATTTTCTTTTTATTATTCTATTTTTGTTAAAGCTTAAGGCTTAAACATATTGTTAATGTTGCTGAATCAAAGGAGTTAGCCATGACCTTATACTTAAATATTCTCTTTCAAAAGACATCCACGATCAATATCTTGTTTTTTAAACTTTGAAACAATGGATAGAATTATCCTTCTCAATTTACATATTGATCGGTGCTAAACAATTTCTCCACAGGAGACCATGTCAGATGAAATATTATTCCTGTTATTTGTCATAAAGTAAGAGGATAGTGTCGGGTTTTGCATACTGGGTTCATATCCGCTACAAATCACGTTATAAGGAACTCGTGGAATAGGCCTACTTATAAAGGGATGTTGTCAGATTTCAGGTGTTTTTGTGTGTTTCACTAATTTGTTTTATCTTTATATCAGTCGATTGATGTACTTTCTATCACAAACCTCACAAAATCTTTATTATTATTGTCGAATCTTAACAGTGCAAGGGGCTTGGATGGCCAAATGGTTTAACGCTTGCGCTTTAGATCATAAGCTCGGTAACTGACGTACTTTCGATTTTCCGCTTGTACGTGACAAGAGGTAGGGTCTCCTATCCACCCTGGTGGATTTTCTCCGGTTCGTCCCACTACTAAAGACCCCTACGCGCAGCTTGATTATTGAGATAAAATTGAACCATATGTTAGTCCCGAAATAACCTAGTTTGTGTCGAGTGAACTGAACGTTAAACCAGATTTATCTCTCCGTGTTAACTGTGCATCTTATTCCAAGTTAACGATGGGAAAACTGAATATAACATCTATAATTTAATATCTTGTAGAAGCAAAAGATTATAGCTGGCAGTGGTGGGTGATTGGTATATGTATAACAATATTTGTACTATTAGTATTAGTATTGGTTATAGTACCTTATGTTCTATGGAGGAAGAAAGAATTGTTTATAATGAAGATTATCTACTTATTTCAACCTTTTGAAGATTCTGGTAAGTGGGACTATGTTGAGTTACCTCCCCTCTGACTTTGGAAACATCAGTGACCGAAAAAGTAACTTACATTTACATAACAATTTGATTCGCGAGTCAAAAAGACAATCCGTGATACACGTAGAAACGACAGCCAAACCTATAATATTATTATCTTATAATTAACCACCCTGGTAAATCATATACTGCAAAACACACATTTTCTGCTGATTTTGTACGTCATGAAGATTTCGAAAACGTACACATGCCTATTTGATGACGATTCCTCGCATGTACGTGACACCCCCCCCACCCCGTTTTCTTTTCACTAAAGACCCCTACGCGCAAGTGAATTATTGGAATAAAATTGAACCACATGTTAATATGTTAGTCCCGAAATGACTTAGTTTGTCTCGAGTGGACGTTACCCCTCTCTCTCTCTCTCTCTCTCTCTCTCTCCCTCTCTCTCTCTCTCTCGTTGATGACTATAAAAAAGCTGTTATTATAGAACTGACGCAAGGTACAACACGATTCGTTCCCATTCCATCACAATATTTTCTAATCAAAACCTCAAAGAAATAATTTGAGCATCGATTATGTTTGATATTTTGTTTGTTGTAGAACAACATAGCTTAAACAATGGCTACTTTAAAATGACCTTTAAGTTATGATGATTTCTGTATTTTAATGGAGACCAAAGTTAAGATTATTGATCATAATCCATTGGTTATTTGGAGAGTTCTGTATAACTTAAGATTAGTGTTAACACAATGGTTTATTTTGCAGATGATAAACTTTTCGACGCCTTTATTTCATACAAATCAACAATGGTCGATGAAAACTTTGTTCTAAATGAACTATTTCCACATTTAGAAACACAAATGAACTTTAAACTTTGTCTGCACTTCCGCGATTTTATACCAGGAGAAAGTAAGTATATTATATGTTAGTAATTTATAAATTAACCGTTAAGATTAACATGCTTATGTCTGTATTAAAATCGGTGTCAAATGTTCCTTTGATATCAAATCCCCTGAAAAAGTGATTATTTGAAATACTTAAGGAGGGAGGAGGTGACGCTGATAATTTTCTACCCTCCCTGTAATCCAAGCTACATGATGTGGGACTAAACGAATATTATGTGAAAGTCACGTCCAGTTTGTCTTACCAAGGACACTCTTATATTGTTGCGTAAGAATGTTACCTATTTTCTTGGATATGGTTATCCATACAAATTAAGTTAACATCATGGTCCATGCGTGTCTTTCTGCTCATTATCTAGAGAGAATATTAGCGTTTTCAGTTAGGTGTGTAGCCGAATTTTTAAAAAATTTTAATACAGTGTAAAATTATGTGTAATTCGGAGATCATTTAAACATACATTGTGCAAGAGCTAAATCTACCTATTGCAGGTCTTTCTTTAGGCCTGAAATGTTATATAAACTATTAATTAGACATTAATTAACGTATCCAGACCATAATCAACTGTCGATGTCATCTTATGTGTCGGATTTTTACTGGATTTGAATCCGATTTGCTGCTCAACGCTCATTGATGATTAAATCCCAAAATAGATAATCGAGACTATGTATTATTTTATCGTAGCGGCTTTTGTAATGATGATCGAGGCTAAGCCTAAATTTCAAACGCTAATATCTCGGTACCCAGTTGAAAAATTTGACTGAAATTTTCAGTATATTCCCTTTATATTATCTAGATTTTCACTATTATAGTGAGAACTACCAGCTCTTTATCTAATCTTCCATAATGTATCATTAAATTAATTAACGTTAAAGTTTATATTCGTAAAAAGAGGTGAAAAATGTTGATCCTGTGATATGAGACCACAAGAAGATCCATCTTTAACAGGTTCTTTACTAAATACTGACTTAATTATTATCGTTAATTTAACTCTGAACTCCCTCTCTCTCTCTCTCTCTCTCCCTCTCTCTCTCTCTCTTCAATATTATTTATATAATTATAATATATTGAGGTGAATCCATAACCCTAATTAACCTAATCACAGTATTATTCACCCCATAGTGAACTTTTATCGTGACGATCTATGAAATCAGTTTTTATTTTATTATGAAGTACTTATTAAACCATTTTAAGCCATTTTTAAATGATATTTCTGACTAATGTACTCTTTATATATATATCCCCGTATTTATTATAATCTATCAAAAGAAGTTTTGATACTAATGGCAAATATAGTTTCATATGTTTTGCAAGTATACAAAGAATATAATCCTACCCACTTAATATTTTTTTGATTAGTAATTTGTATTTGTATTATTTTTATGTTAGTTTTTTTTAAAAATGGAACTCATTTCGGGACACTGACAATTCCTCAGCCCACATTTAATCCGCAAAATAATAATATAAATGGTCGCAAAATAAAAATATAAATGGTATCTGGAATTAACGTCCACTCGACAAAAACTAGGTCATTTCGGGACTAACACATGGTTCAAGTATATTTCAGTAATTCGCCTGCGCGTAGGAGTCTTTACCAGTGGGGATACCGGAGAAAAACCCACGAGACTGGACAGACGATCCCACTCCTTGTCATGTACAAGCGCGGAATGGAAACCACGCCATTTGACTCAATGGAATGATAGACCTTATGATTCAACGCGCACGCGTTATCCCCCACCCCAACACCCCCTTAAATGGTACTTACATTATGCTTTATCGTTTGTTGGTCAGGTTGACTACTTTGTACATTTGAAGTTTCAAGTATAGATGATTCTATATATATTTTTTCAGCTATATCAAACAACATTATATGGGCTGTAGAGAACAGTAGAAGAACCATCCTAGTACTGACACCAGATTATGTGGAAAGCGAATTCTGTATGTTTGAATATCAGAAAGCACAGCATGAAATGCTGAGGCGAAAACAGAGAATTATTCCAATTATGTTTCAAGACATTAACGACATAGAACACGTGGACAAAACTTTACAATCAATCTTAGATTCAATAACTTACTTGGAATGGCCCGGTGAGGATAGTCCGAAAAAAATAGAAAAGTTCTGGAAGAGATTGGAATTCTCAATGCCAAAAAAGAAATCACTCGTTTCAACATCTGAAATAACCAGACCAAGCGACGATGGTGTAGGATTAAAAAGTGTTACAGACAGTAGTAAGAATCGACCTATGTCAACTGTAGAAGATAAGGGTGAATTTATAGAACTATCAATAGATGGCGTCGACGGCATAGATAATTTGGCATTAAACACTTCGTCATGATGAAGGCAATTCTCATATCTAAATGCTACATGAAAAAAATCCATTTTACACAATAACAATGTCGTATGAAGTATTTGAATAATAGAATTATTGCGGGGTTTGGGTTTCTTTTCTTTGGGTGCGTGTGTGTTGAGAGGGGTGGGGGGATAATATTCAGACAATCACACATCACTCTACATGTTGGTATATAGTTATCGCCAATTTTCATTGATCGTCGACCTTGGCCGATTGTCACACTTTTCAGGAATTGTTTGTACAGTTGTGTAAATATGTTATTACTCTTGACAGATAATAACCTTACCTGTACCCACCGTACACTATTGACTTTATTTACAGATGGTTATTATCAATTTTAAACCTTTATGCTAAAGTACACCAGTCTCGTATGTGGGTTATTCTATTAATTGTTGGGTCCAGGCAAAAAGACAAAAACTAACGTTCAAAGCAAACTGATAAAATTTGGTGGTCTGCACCCATACTTGACGCCAGAGTTAATTATCCTGATTAATGGGATTTTGGTGTAACAATGCATGCACTTTCTTATTAGTTGAGGTTCTGACGCATATTATTTTGACATAGCTTTATGGCAAAGACAATTCCTGTCGAATACCCACTATTTTCCTTCATAATTCAGAAATCCTGGCAAATAGTGGGTCTAACATGGCTCCTATTAGTTTTCACAAAATACCCCCTCGGCGAATTTAAGGTTGAAATGTTATTTCTTTTATGAAAAAAATCTAGCATATCATATTTTTAAAACAATAGCAACAGAATAAAACAAAAGGTAATCTTTTATTTGTTTCAATCAAACTTTAACAACATCCAGTTTCATTGGACAAACACCATTTTTAAGAGAAATAGTCATAATTGTGCCATTGCTTCCGTCGTCTTCAATTACTTTCAAAAATGCACCTACAACTGTATCTATTCTGTAATAACAATAAATATTCAATAGATTAAGACACACATTCTTCTGATAAATAGGAAAATCAATGAATACATGATATAGTACGTTATTCATCCCATTTAATAATAGGTAAGAGCGGCCTAGGGCATTCAGTGTTCAGTTTAAAGGTCGCGGGTGAGGCGTTTAGTAATATATCACTTCTATTTCTATTTTCCACCATCTTGCATAAATAATGTACGATTGTCACAATGTGGGTTCCATTATTTGGAATAATGATACGCAAACTTCAAAGAATGATGTTACTACTTGTAAAGATGGCCTGCACTTTGGGTATCGACCAATCAGCATTAGACCAGCAACCTGCCCTGTCTCTTTTTTAGTCAGTAATATTGTTTGTTTGACAATTAAACTCACGTCTAATTGGCAATTTTTGGATTATAATTAAAAGAGATAAAATAGATTGCGTAATTGCATCATTAATTATTTCATTTGAAAGAGATGAAAAATCTATGTGAGTTCCTACAAAGATTTAAATAAGAATACATAGATTGCGTACTTGCTTGCATCATTATTTTTGCATTTGAAAGAAATGTAAAAAAAAATCACTTGAACCTATATGAGTTCCTAAATTGATTGAAAAGAAATAAATATTGAATATATTGTTCAATGGATGTTGTATTATTGTTCTCTATTTGTAAGAACTTGGTACTTCAGCCCTCTATCTTGCAGCATTTCTTCATAGGCAACCACAAGGGGTTCAAATGGATTCTTTTGTTTGCATTGCTAATTGTTATATTTGTCGTAATGAATAATTACAAAAAACCCCAGATAATTTAGGCTGAATTTATTGTAAAACATATTGGACTAAAACTGCAAACCAGCTCTAGGCAATTTTATACTTATTATTTAGCATTCTCAAATAATGTACGTCTGCGGATATATTTTAATCATTATATCTATATGGTATTCTACTGTCGTCCATGGTTAACATTTGATCTTATAGTCTGGGGGGATCACGTGCCTAAGTGGGTAAGACGCTGGCTCGCTAACCTGGAGGTCGGGCTTTCGATCCCTGCATTGGCCGAGAAAGTTCATCCAGATTTTCCGGCGTGGTTCCCCCTTGTCAGTGATGCAGGACGAAGGGCCTGACAAGGACAGCTGTCTAGTCCTTCGGTTAGACGAAAAACCGAGGTCCCGTGTATATATTGGAATGCACGTAAAAGATCCCTGCCAGTTGGAATTCGATATAAGAGTAGTCGATAGTGCCGCTGCCCGGGCAAAATTTCCCTCATAGCACACTGTATGGCGTATGCCCGTCTTCATTAGCCCAGTATAGGAGCAGAACAGTAGGACGTTAAACCCCATTTCATTTTATTTCTTATAGTCTGGACCAAAGTTTGTTCTGACTACCAAAACCAAACTCTAATCATTTAACACCACAATCTGCGTTCATTACAGCCTAAATGCTACTCATTAAAGATGTATTATGTGCGATTAAGATGCAGAACTGGTCATTTTTGCTATAATAGTTTAAAATTAAATAATGCAAAACTGAATGTTTTGAAAATTTTATTCAAAACTTTATTCGGAGTAATTTGGGGTTCTGGCAATATGTGGCATTGATTGTTTATTATCGTAACAACTTAACCTCGCTTCTCCATTTTTAAATTAGATCATTAAATGGCCAAAACGTTCTGATCCACTTAAAATCGGAGCCATCCGATGCCATAGAAAGTTGTTTATGGACTTGCCATGTTAATAAATGCTGAAATAATAGTTTATATAACATTCGAAGCCTAAATAAAAACCTGCGATAGGCAGGTTCAGCTCTTACATAATGCATCTTTAAGCTATATTCTTTACAACTCCAAAAGGAATATAAGACGAAATGAAGTGGAGGTTAACGTCCTACTTTTCTGCTGCTCCACTCGGTCTAATGAAGACTGGCATACGCCATGCAGCATGAGGGACATTTTGCCCGGAATTATCGCTATGGCCTACTGGTATTACAAATTCTAACTCTCAATGGTTCTTTTACGTGCACACCAATCTATACATGGTTTTCCGTGCCATCCGAATGACTAGGGGCTGTTCCTTGTCATGCCCTCCGACTTGCACCACTGCCAAGGAGAAACCAAGCTGAAGAATCCTCGTAGTTTCCTTTGGGAAAGTGCATTTAGATTTACTTATTTCGCTTTATATATGCCGTGCTCCAGTTATCTTGTCATATGTATTAATAGAAGAAGGTGGTTAGTTCGTTAAACTTACGGTAATAAAGACAATGATTTTAACATCTCTTGAAATTCTTTGTAATATAAAAGTTGTTCTGGCTTCTGGTTATTTATGAAACCTGTATTTACAGCTGTAGGGTTCATTGATGCAAACCTGATCCCCATTTCTCCAAGATACGGATTAGCCTATAGAATTAGAGTGTATTAGGTACATTGTACATAAATATATTAAAAATAAATATAGAATTGAATTACATTTCTCGAACAAATAAAAAACAACATTTAATAAGGCTATAACATTAAACGTCGTATATATAATCATTCTTCTATTACTAAAACACTAAAATACATTCTATTTATAGGATTAACAATAGATACATTAAAATATTAAGCCAGTTGAATAATAGCTCTCAGTTTATCGATATTATACATAATAAAATTATTAACAATAAGACATTAAAATCATATAAAACATTGCTTGGAGCTTGATCAAACCTAAGAATATCAGACAGTATAGTTTTTATCCTCTATATAAATCTCTTTGATGTAGGTCAAAATAAAATGTTATATTGGGTTTAACCGAGGACTGACGTGTTATTTAGATTAATGATGGGACGAAGTCTCTGCGATTAAATTTCCATTTCAAATACTTAACGGAATTTAATTTGTTTCATAATTTTAGTTTCGTATTTGGCTTGATCTGTCATCAGTAGAACATAAAATCAGCTGTATCTAAACAATGGCTCAAAATGTTTAAAACAACTTTAATGTATACAGATTTCCACTCAACAAAAGCTAATCCGCACGCCAAGATCATGTAATTCACTTTTATTTGTCACCCAAATCAAAGCATTCTAGTCATTTTGCTTGTAGTTTTGCCGTTTGGGTATACGTTATTTTTCCATTATTGGCCATTGTTTATAATAAAAATCTACCCCAACATATACTTACCGCCCAACACGATGTAAAATGGACTACGGCGGCTTTTGATGCAGCATACACTGGGAAAACAAAACGTGCATCCAGACCTTTAATGGAAATTGAATATATTTATGCAGTTTGGTTTGGATTGTTTTATTCTATTTGTACACAAAACGAGGCATTATGTACTTACACCTTAGGCTATAGAACAGAAAAGATGGAATCGTGTATCCCCGACGCTGTATCTTATTCACAATGATACATATACCTCACGAGAAAGGACTTCGATATAAATCCAACTGCCATTATTCGATTGTTGTCTATGTGGCCAATTACATCGTTAAATACAGTTGTATAATTACCTGCGAAAGATCCAGTATTAATGATTATTCCACCTTTACCACCTTTATCCTTCCTCATATGTTCAACAGCTAAATTGGTACCTATCACCACACCTCCCTAATTATACAAACATTTTGTAACAAATATTATTTAACTAATAGTAATGGCAATTATAGTGCTTACTCTAGAATACCTAATATCACGTCTCATTAAAATCTGAGGAGTTCACATAGTTCAAACTACTTTTAAATCGTTCTGGAATGGATTGTTCATTCGACATATAAATAAATAACGCTCCGCGATGCACATTCTCTTTCAAGCATCTGGTTAGACGTGGAAAGCCCACATGCCAAAATAACTCCCCACAGCCGATGTGTGACGCACCCTGTCTTCACTCTACACATTTTATTAGTCTTGTAATCGTCTGGTATTGTCTCTGGTTATATTTGTAAGTATCTTGCATGGCAACCACTTGTTTTAACTGGTCATAACTGATAGCAGTGAATTATATGATAGGGACACAAGGAAAGAGTATGAATAAACTCTATCCCATCGCTTTTGTAATTACTTAATCTGTCATAGATACAACGGAAGTGAGATGGGGCTGAAATAAAGATCGACTCTACAGTTAACCAATCTTGACCCTCTCAACTGGGAGTCGGTTAACCCAGGGATCAGTATAGAAAGTCTGCGTTCTAGAAGTCTCACGTCTATGTTAAAATCAGGCCTCGTTGTATCTAACCGTATAACTACTTGCGCGCAATAACCTGGAAAAAGGAGAACCTGCGCCCCCCCCCCTCGCCCGTCCGCACTCCACGGGCCCTGTAATATTAACAATTGCTAAAATCTATTTACCAGATTGACATCCATCATATAATTCCATTTATTCTCGTGTATCATACCGGCATTATTTAACATTATATCAATATGGCCTGCCGTAGACACCGCTGAGTTAAATGCATCTGAAGGAACAAAATAAACCATTTAAGGCAAGAGAAATATTCAAAGCTTAGAACGAATTCAAATGAAGCCTTGGTATGCTATTCATTTAGCGTATTGGAAGCTAAAAGATCTAATATTGACCATAAGGTAATCTCAGAAATCCATCGCATGGCACTGAGAGGATTTATTGTGCGTTAGAATTTTTATTCGAAGTAATGAAGCAACAGTCTGCAATGAGTTTGTTTGTTGGTTTTTTTTAAAAAGAAATAAAAAATAGTGATATTAATAGGTGCTATTCAAGAGGTGATGTGCTATGAACAGAACCAAACTGAAGTCTGTTGTTTTCACTTTATGCTGTCCACACAGCCCATTATATATTAGAGATTGCTGATTGTGTTCACAGCCATGTAACCGGTTATAATGTTCTGTGCAGGGATAGAGGTTTGTCATCCCATATTTATTATGAATAACGCCTCTTGGAAACAGTTACTGGACAACTACCTGAAGCTCTATGTTACTTTTTTTAAAAAAAAACCCAAACAAACTTTCATTTCATTGTTGTGAGATTGGCCATTAGACCCTATATTCCATGTTCTTCTAGTTCTACATGTAACCAGATCTACATGTATGCACTTGTCGACATTAAAGGGTGAATGTATTTAATGGGTTAATAACCGCGTCAAGCAAATCTAATCACAACAACAACTAATTGAAATGGGGGGGGGGGGGGGGTAGCACGTCCGCGCTCTACCATTGAGTCAACTGGTGGCGTTTCGATTCCTCGTTTGTACGTGACAAGAAATAGGTCGCCTGTCCAACCTCGTGGGTTTTCTCCGGGTCCCCCGGTTTCCTCCCACTGATAAAGACCCCTACGCGCAAGGGAATTATTGAAATAGAATTGAACCATATGTTAGTCCCAAAATGACCTAGTTTGTTTCATGTGGAAGTTACCCCCCCCCCCCCCCCCGCCTCTCTCACTCTCTCTCTCTCTCTCTCTCTAATTGAATTTTTCAGACGAGTAAAATAACCCATATCGTCACATTTGGACTTTTGATTAACCCACTCTAATGTTATGATGCCTTCTGCAATCTAGGACTGTCTGTTTAAATGTTGACTATTCTCATACAGCACAGACTTGTATAATACCATAACAACATACATAAGCAAATTGTCTTAATACAAAGATAGGAAAACATACGAATCTTTGGAACAAACAGATTATTTTTTGCACGGAATACATTACAATTTACGACACAGACCAAAGCTAAGCTCAGAAATGTCAAAATATCTATTTTCACAGTAAGCTAATTACCTTGGGGCAATTATAAATACATATTTACTGTTGTTATCAATATAAAGGCTTTATGGATCGAACAACTAGATAGTATTGATTTTCTAAAAATGACACGTACCTGTAAGTTCTTGAGGTTTTGTAACATCACATTTAACAAAAGTTGCTTTATCCTCTCCATAGGTTGATCTTAATCTCGTCTGCAATATGTTACCTTGTTCTTCATTAACATCCCCAATAAAAACCTAGAGTGATGGGAATACAAATACGATGGAGGAATGATAAACAACTGTATTTAAAATACGCTTGGTTTTCATTTGAAAAATTCGGACAACTCCAGGTTCGGAATTTTTTCAGGAGGGGGTTTGCCAGGTTGTTTGACGTCAACTTTTGTCATGAATTAATAGGATCACATTGTGATTTAATTTCATAGATGCAAAGCATTAATTGTGATATCACATAAATATCAGATTCGCCGCTGAACTCTTGATTCGTGGGGCACTGCCATTTATTTTTTTTAGCAAGTAGCAAGATCGCAGGAAAGAGGCTGTTCAATGTGCAAGTAATTTATGAATAGAACTTTTAAAATGTAAAATGTGACCGAAATTGAAATTGAAATTGGAATGAAAAATCCAAAAGTCTTCTCCAGATTACTTTCTTGTCAGATGAACTAAACGTAAACGAGTGGGTATAATGAAGATGGCCATTACAAACGATTATTTAAACAACTTTACTTAGATTTCGAAAATGTGACCATCTCGATTCAGAAGCCTCCTGGTGGGTGGTGTATTTTATACCACCTACCAACATTTAAAAAAAAAAAAAAAATATACCAGATAAGGCAAATACAGAGAATAAAATGCTATTAATATTATTTGAAGTGTTTTTTCCTGAAATCGGTCGATAATCAAATGTACGTCGATAACAAGATAATGGTGAAGATAACAATTCTAAATTTTAAAACGTAGGTTAAATTAAAGGGACATCAGACGCATCACAAGAATAACATTTTATTACTTTAAAACCGGTGTAATAAAGTACACACGAGCAACAATTCATCTAAATTAAGGCAGTGGATTTGCACGGAAATGATAGCATCATTATTACGTTTGTTAACTCTGGTAAGTGAAATTTGGAAAAAATTTCTTGTCGGTGAAAAGCAAGACCGTTTTTGTCCATATTTCAATTATCCATTTATTTTTAATTTTATGAGATCATTTACCTAAAGTTTGGATATGATGTGTAGAATGTGTATATCTATAACATATATTTCCTTTTCGGTCACTCTTTGGAATAATTTGAACGTTGTGGACCAAATAAACGCCCGTGTCGTTGATTTTCGTGAGGCTGATGTCGCAAAAACATTTCTGTGAATATATAATCCACATACGTAAAAATGGAATAAAGTTATCAAACTTTTTCGCATAATTGGTTTGTAAACTCAATCACATATCGGTACCTCAAAGTTTAACCAAAATACACTCGTAAAAATAGAATGGAATTGAAGTAAGCAAAGGGTTAAAATTCAGCAAAATACAAACACAAACGGAATCCGACGAAACGCAAATTTGATCAATATCAATAACGCTGCTATATACAGTAAAATACCAATGGAATCCCACGAAACGCAAGTTTGATCTGTAACTCTTGTACCAAATTTCAATAAACTAGATACATCTCAAAGATGATTTTTTTTAAAATAACGGGGGAATAACGCATGGACAAAGAGAAAGCCTAAGTGAAATATAATCTCAGTTTCGCTTACAGGTCACGGCAATGTCTGCACGAATATATGGGAATGCAGTCTTCTTCAACACGCTCACGACATTCGTGCACTCTATACTAATTTTCTAACATAAATTATGTACAGCAACGTTTATGATCTCCATGAATTATTCATTTCCAATAGAGACAAACACAATTTTAAGGGAAATGAAAACTGACAAAATACTTGTGAAAGTGATAAAGAGCTAAATATATAACGTTACCTTAGCCCCGGATTTGATCAACGCCTCCGTTAAACCAGCACCAAAACCCATAGCACCCCCCGTTAAAAACACATTAGCGTCTGTTAACTTCATCTTTATACTATAGTTCTATACAATGAAAAACTATCAAAATTAATGTTTAAATGGACAATTCTAGATTTAGACAAACAAACTTTTCCCCACTAAACAACCGCATGGAGATGCAATGGTTACTATTGGGACCTCGCGTGGGTCTGTTACAAATACTTATTCATTAAATTTAAAAAAATATATACAGAAAAAAAACGTTTAAGATTAGATAAACGCTAGCCACTAAACAACCGCATGGAGATGCAATGGTTACTATTGGGACCTCGCGTGGGTCTGTTACAAATACTTATTCATTAAATTTAAAAAAATATATACAGAAAAAAAACGTTTAAGATTAGATAAACGCTAGCCATTTAAATCTTTTACTTCTGCGCTAATCATTGTCTGTTAAAGTTAATTAATTATATAAGAACAGTTATGAAAACTTAAAAACTATTTTACCTGGTCTGTACCTGCAGTGTCGGCAATTGATAAGGGTCGGTGTGAAGATGTACTGTAAGATATATAAGATAAGATAGGGTATCTCGACAGACCCATCATTTTTAAAGAGGGCCAACATGAGATAAAAGTCGTCCGTGGACTAGGACATATATCTAAACAGCATGCAAAACAGGCCAATACAACATAATGGTGCTGCAGAAACGTTTTGGATTAGCCTGGAGTAGATGCAATGCGAACCTATTGTTTATCATTTGTTTTAGTTCTTGCGGGCTTGATTGTAAATGCAACGGACATTTTTTTTTAATTAACCTCCTCTTAGTTGTTATGTGGATCTGTAAAGGCCTAACCCTGATGTCATGACTGTTTGGATGACTTTTGTGTATGGATAAAATCACATCGAGTCTCTTTAAAGTTGATCACATGATATGTAATTCATATTACCCTTAGCAAACAACTGAGATTTTATCATAAGCATCACTAACCCATATTCTAATGTTTTCTTTGTAGCATTATACCTCGTCAGGTCAACTATACACAGCGTTTACTTAAAAGTTAATTAGGTCAGCTGCATTACTGCCAATGCTGTACTTTTATGAATATACACCTCATCTAAAGAACCGGGGAAAAATAAAACATGGAAGGAATCTATTTAACTTGGTATTGGAAAGACATGTGTTTCTATATAGTCGGTGGAGGCCAATCAATTATTGCAAAATGCGTGTTTACGTCAAACCAACACGTGTATGATTTTACGTTAAATTATTATAATCACATAATATATATATATATATATATATATATATATATATATATATATATATATACTTTTCATCCGTGCAATATAAATACTCTCATGGATTTCGTTTTACAAACAATAGAGACATTTGATTTTCATATTCAGTCCTATTCTAGGAGAATAGATGGTAGCACAATTATCAATGAAATAGACATTTAAGTGACCAATGAAGTGAAAATAAATACTGCAAAAAAACATCCTACATTTTGCATTCACTCCGTCATGCCACTAGTATTAAGTTACATATGGCCGGACTTTAGTGTTCGGTATTAAAAAACATCGGTCTCGAATAACATGAAATAATATTATGGCAAGAATACACACGGGTATACAATTTAAAGGGGATATTTGTGACGATTTCTCGTAAGAAAGTCCTAGGGCGGGGGTACTATAGATTCGAATACCATCGTTGGACAAGGATCTTTTCAAATCCAGGTTTCACATGACAAATTACAGTCCTTGGTGTTTCTTATAGTTTGAAACACTGATGTATTAGTCAACATATTGGTAGCTGGCCATTCATTTCCAGTTGGAATCCCCATAACAATGGACGCAAAAAAGCACCATGGCATTGTGAATAATAAAATATCCCCAACCCCCTAAGTATATACCAGAATCAAAAGTATACCTGACACATCTTTTACGTTTCAGACAAGACTGCATTATCGAATGCTACTGGAATCACAGAAATCAGCAAGAAAACTATCAATCCAAAATGATTCGTGTTAAACTATTCTTATCGGCATATTGAAGTAGTTTATTCAAGATTTACTAACTTCCACTTTCACTGAAAAAATTCCATCAGGAGAAATAGTTAAAATTGTGCCATTACTTTCATCATCCTCTGTAACTTTTATAATGCCATCTACAACTCTTGCAACCCTGAAATAACAGCTATAAATAAAACATATAAAACAAGGATACGGTCACATTGACACATCTTAATTCCAAATTTTACCATATAGGTTACCGTTGATATTGTTAACGTTTTCAAACGACGTATATAAAACATGAATAATTCAGAATGAAGGGAATTACTACATGATGTAAAAATCGTATCTTTACTCTCAAAATTTAAAGGAAATCATAATGGAAAATTCATAGCTAAAAATATGTATTAAAAATTAAACAATCAACTAAATTAAGGATACATTATGTAAGATTTAGATAAAGAGCTGACCGTTCTTGCTATAATAGTTCAAAAATAAATAATGCAAAATTAATATATTGAAAATTTCATTCAAATTACTTTATTCTGAGCGAATATATTAGCCTTTGAAGGTTTGACAAGACGCGTGTCCTGACTGTAACAACCGTATTGGTTGTTCAAAGCTTAGCCTCACTTCACCATTTCTTAGATTAAATGGCTGAACCGTTCTAATCTATTTAAAACTTGAGCCATCCGATGACATCGAGATTTGATTATGGTCTGGATAAGTCAATTAATGTCTAATTAATAATTCATATAACATTCAAGGCCTAAATAAAGATCTGCAAAAGGCAGATTTAACTCGTGCATAATATCTGTTTAAATTATTAAAATTAAAGTTCCTGTACACATAGTAGTGGTACTACTTCATATTCAGTTGGTTGTCAGGTCGTCATGTTTATCAACAACTTGTAGGTTCTGCTAGTGACTTCAATGGATCTGTGTTATAAACAGATTGTCAGTTATGGTAGAAACGTACGGGAAACGGGATAAATTCAACATTTCTTGGTTCGCATTATGATTTAAAAATGCTCTGGACTTAATTCTTTACAATTTTTCCATTCGTTGTATTGCAATGCCTCCATATAGTGCAAATTCTTACCCATAATTTGCAGATATGAACAACGGTATTCATTTCTTCGAACAATGTGATTGGGTTACAGGTCAACACCAGGTCAAATGATAATTGCTTTCAGTCATCTGCAGATGCATTATTGGCAAGCATTATACAATTAAAATCGTTTATCGATACCCCGGTATATTGTTACTATACATGACATTTACCCGGGTAAATTTACTATAAGGGAATGGAGGTTTGCACTCCGTTTATCAAAAATACGATTTTAACGAGACCGTCATCATGAGCCAAATGAATAAAACCTGATCCAATATTCATAGAGATAGTGGGATTATGATACACGAATCACAAATCCGACAAAATGACCTTTTGTTGTGTTGTGTTCTGTTCTGAATTATCTACAAAACGTATGACAACACTTGTATAAAAATGTTTAGTCTTTAGACAAACAATTGTGGAATGGTAAGGTAAGATGTTCTCTGAATTCAACGAATATATAATGACATTAACGTGTTCTCCGAAGTCTATGGTTATGGAATCGTAAGAATAATTCCTGGATGTTTATTAATGGAAGAGTGTTCATTCTGCGACTCTGAATTTTTGATAAGATTCATCCTTACGATTAGCTAAACAATCTCAGTAAATTTGAAAACACCCCCCTCCCCTCCCAGATCATTTATAAGGTCTGTTAAATATGGATGTGCAGGGTCGGTGAACTGGTGGCCACCGTGACTTTTATTCAGTCAAGCGTTTAATGTTTCGAACGCAGAGTGGGATTGCCTGCCTGTTTTTCCCACAGCTAAGCATAATTGAAATCGAAATATACCATGTTAGTCCCGAAATGACTTGGGTTGTGTTGATTGGGTGCTAATTTCAATATTCTCCTTTAAATGGCGAGAGGTGGAAATCAGGTACAGATACTGTTTAACTATAATGTATTTATGAAAATAATTGTGAAGCTACCAAAATTGATTAAAATTGACAATAAAAATATTTATGATGGCGGTTATCTGGTTTAATCAAAGAATATCAGACAGGTTATAATTATTCCATATTTCATAAATAAAAAAAAAATCACTGTTCAATCTATACTGGGTAATCAATCTTATCGTCAACTAAATTGTTCAAACGGCAAATGTCATGCATGACACAATACCAAATGCACGTCTCTAGGCAATGAATTCAATGTTTAGATTTATAGAAATTGGTCTACCAAGTTAATTTCATATAATATGTTATTAATTATGTATGTATGGTTGTTTTTATCATGCGCTTGATTAACATCCACAAGTAACATGAATCCACGTTACGTCATGCTTAATGACACGGTCTGGAATCCATCCATGGGTTTCCTTGGAAAACTAATCGACAAAATATTCCACAACAAGGCAAAGAAGTACTGTTGTCTATGTTACTCGTCCACACATATACATTAGATTAACGGTTTTAATCCGCATCCAGAAGTCTGAAGATTGAATTTTCAACAGATTTTTAGCTCAACAACCTGAGGGTCCTATGTTGGGTCCTCGTCTTGGCCGAAAAAGGTGCCCGGGGGGGGGGGGGGGCTGGCAAGAAAAAGTGTTCAGTCGTTCGGATGAGTAAACAGCAGAGGTCCACGTGCGTACTCGTTGGCATACGCATACATGGATCTCTGTCAGTTGGAATTCGATGGAGAGTAGCTGTCCGGACATAATTCTCTTTCAGCACCCTGCATGACGTTTGTCCGTCTTCGTTAGCACGGTTCTTGTTCACCAGGAAGGCTAATGTACCGTGAGCATGAAGAGAATTTACATCCAACGTGTTATAAAACATCTTCTAATATTAACTTTTCGCCGGATGACGCAGTAACTTTGGATACTTCGTTTATGCAAGGAGCATTTGGTATCACCATACGGCCTGTATCTGTGTCCTTCCTACAGAAGACCCGCTTAAATCGACGGCGTATAAAAGGCACCTTTAAGGCGTATATGATTGGATTCAATAAACTGTTAAGAAAAGCTGGTCCGGTAGAATATATAATAAAATTTCCTTTCTCAAGATATGTATAGTCATCTAGATACCCACTGACATGTAGTATTACAACAGTTCCTAAAAATAAATTCAAAATCGAGGTAAAACATAAGTATATATATTTTAAAGTCTCTGAACGTAATATGTTCAATTACTAAATGCCAATCAAAGAAGATAATTTGAAGGATTGAGGGATCCCCTGATAACTACAATGCAGTGAAAGTTGAATCTCTAAAAGACATATGAAACCTAAACTATTCCAATTCCCGAATTTACTAAATGTATACTGAATTCAACATTGAACAGTTTGCATCTTTTGCAGACGATATAAACAAAACAGATCTGGTCAAAACCCAGTGCAGTCTGCAATCTTCGCTTGTCTAATGGGCCTATTTTTAATCCAATTGAATCCAGGACGGAAAATTATTTAACGTTGTTATTTCGATTTTTTTAATTAGTAAGTGCAAACAATTGCACAAGACAAACCCACGGACAAGGCGCAATATACAAAATCCTCAAACAACAAATGTACATTAATTAATCAAATTGAGTACATCTTAGGACTAAGTCGTGGAAAATCTGAAATTTCCAAAATATGCAAATGACGCAAGGAGACTTGAAAGGGAAATGGCCCGTGTAACTATATTCCTCAGCCAAAATACGACTTTAAAAATATCTAAGTACTTGGATGAATGCCATCATGGACTGGATGAAATTATATAAAGACAATGATAATGTACATACCCATAGGAGCCCAACACAATAAATAGGTCCCGGCTACAATTGAAACAGTTTTTGTAAATTTTAAAGAATGTTTCGTTGTGGTGTTAGCTGCTCCTGGTTTCGAAGAATTAATCAATCTAGCATGACGATGAGCTTCTTTGAATATCCGTAAATAAATGATAAGTAATAAAAAGAATGGTGTGAACTGAAGACACAGCAGAAGTCGGAAGTAGCCAACAGTGAGAATCATCATAAATCCACATGTATTATCGGTTTCCGGGTGATTTCTCCAGCCCATTAATGGTAGCAGACCCACCAGTAGAGCCAGTACCCAACTTATAGCAATGATAACAGAAACGTACTTTTTATTGCAAAAATCGGCATATCTGTCAAATATAAAATAAAATGCATAGTGATTACTATTACACTCGTAATACCTTTTTCAATTTGTTCAGCAATTTCTATGGTAATAGTTTTGTCTCGTATATTAATCTCAGATACTCAAAACTCGGTTACATGTATTTCATAAACATGGATAGCTAACCGGTTGAGCTACTTCCAATCCGAAATCTACAAATTACCGACACCTTTCTTTAACATCCGAAATCACGGAGGGGAAGTCATTTTTCTAGCACCAGTAAGACCTATTTAATAGTATTATGAGTGTTATTATGTAATGTAATTTAAGATAATGAGTAGAGAAAACGATTTTGGAGAAGAAAGCATATTTGAATTATTTTGTTAATATCCAAATGAAATGAAGTTTTATGGCACGTCAGCTCCAACCGGGCTATATTGCGCCAAATGTTAATATCCAAACATCGATACTTATTCCAATTGCCTACAATTGAATCAGATTTATTGTCAGAATTTATTTTCTGTGGGCGTTTATAACATATTTAATTTATATCTGCTAACATCGATGCCAAGTTCATATCAAATTAGCCTTTCGTTTGCATTAATATTTTCAATGGCTTTCTAATCACTATTCAGCCCTATGAATTGCTGTAATTCAAATCGGGATAAAGGGGGCGGGCAGCGAGATCAGTGCCAAAACGAAAGGGTTTCCCCTTTTACCTTCCAGTTCTGTATATCATGGAACTATACGTATATGAATCCTGTGTACAGATTTAAAACAAGAATCGGAAGTTAGGACTAGACAACTGAAGCAATTAATTTAAACAGGCAAAATTTTAGATATACTTGGTAGAATGAAATATGACAGGGGCCCGGCAAATTTATTGGTTACTGTTGCCATTACCTTTCTTATATATTGTTTTTTATTATATACAACTCAATGTCACGGTCGGTTTTGAAGATCCGACATGGTTTC